GTTGCATGCTCAGTAAATGTTATGTTGGTTGAATGCTAAGTAAATGCTGTGTGGTTTGCAAGCTTAGTAATTGTTGTGTGGGATCATGCTTGGTAAATGCTGTGTTGGTTACATGATCATAAATTATGTGGGATGCATGCTTGATAATTGTTATGTGGGGTCATGCTTGGTAAATGTTTGCGTTGCATACTTTTTGTTATGTGGGTTGCATGCTTAGTAAATGTTGTGTTGGTTACATGATCATAAATTATGTGGGATGCATGCTTGGCAATTGTTATGTGGGTTGCATGCTTAGTAACTGTTATGTAGGGTGCATGCTTAGTGAATGCTGTGTGTTTTGCATGCTTAGTAATTGTTATGTGGGGTCATGCTTGGTAAATGTTATGTGCGTTGCATACTTAGTTTTTGTTATGTGGGTTGCATGCTTAGTAAATGCTGTGTTGGTTACATGATCATAAATTATGTGGGATGCATGCTTGATAATTGTTATGTGGGGTCATGCTTGGTAAATGTTATGTGCGTTGCATACTTTTTGTTATGTGGGTTGCATGCTTAGTAAATGCTGTGTTGGTTACATGATCATAAATTATGTGGGATGCATGCTTGGTAATTGTTATGTGGGTTGCATGCTTAGTACATGTTATCTTGGTTGCATGCTCAGTAAATGTTATGTTGGTTGAATGCTAAGTAAATGCTGTGTGGTTTGCAAGCTCAGTAATTGTGTGGGATCACGCTTGGTAAATGCTGTGCGTGTTTGCATGCTTAGTTTTTGTTATGTGGGTTGCATGCATAGTAAATGCTGTGTGCATTTGCATGCTTAATAAATGTTATGTGGGTTGCATGCTTAGTAAATGCTGTATTGGTTACATGATCATAAATTATGTGGGATGCATGCTTGGTAATTATTATGTGGGTTGCATGCTCAGTAAATGTTATGTTGGTTGAATGGTAAGTAAATTCTGTATGGTTTGCAAGCTTAGTAATTGTTGTGTGGGATTATGCTTGGTAAATGCTGTGCGTGTTTGCATGCTTAGTTTTTGTTATGTGGGTTGCATGCATATGGTTACATGATCATAAATTATGTGGGATGCATGCTTGGTAATTATTATGTGGGTTGCATGCTCAGTAAATGTTATGTTGGTTGAATGGTAAGTAAA